TCTGTCTGTCTGTCTGTCTGTCTGTCTGTCTGTCTGTCTGTCTGTCTGTCTCAAAATGGTTGCAAATACCAAAAGAAGAGGGAAAACAAAATGAAATGTAGAAATACTGCCATCAACTATTGGTGAATCAGTCTACTGCATAAGAATGAAGGTCCCCTTACTCTCAAAAGTAATGACATCAATTCAAGCACATGCTTCTTGTAATAATACCCAAATTGTCTGTCTGTTTTTCAGCAAGGCAAATAGAAATAGTGTTGGCGGATTATAGGGTATCAGATTTTAAAGTCAGTTTTTTTTAACCAGCTTTAACACGGTATTAGCGGTATTTTTACATGACTGAATACAACTTTGTACAAGTCATGTGCATATTACATGTCCAAAGGAACATTTACTTAATCACTGAACTAATTTTCTTTTCACTTTTCTTTTTATTTCAGATTATGTTACTCGTACTAGCTGAATCTTCAGTCACTGGACGTAATTTTTTTAAATCGTATTTTTTTGTGATTGTCACAGAAATATGGTGATACGGTGTGATTGTGCTGTGGCCCAGCAATATATACTGTATATATATATAGTCAACACTATTTCTATAATCAGCCTATAATCCTATACTTCCTATAATCACCCAACACTATATATACTGTATATACATGTATACTAGTTTTACAGCTGTGTTTTAAGAACACAGATGTGACAAGCAGAACAACTATGGTGGTGGAGTGACAGACAGCATGTCATTTACCCCGGGGAAATTGTTGCCTACAAGGCTTATTTCTTGAAGGACTTATTTTACAGAGGGATTCGTTGCTCAGAAGGCTCTACTATAGTAAAAGCACAATCATGAAATAAAAAAGGTTCTGTTTCCGCAGGCAAAAACTGAGCCACAATGTGGGAAGGTTTATTCCTTGTGATTTCACCTCCAAGAGGTGGAGGTAATTAGAAAATGTCATGATATTTAGGTGTTTTTCTTCAGTATAATTTATGTTTTTTGGCCATTTTGGACAATTAAGGTCTATGGGGAAAAAGAGCTAACTAAATTGACCATAAATTTAGTACCATCTCGATTAAAAAGTGAAGAGGCAGCAGACCAAGTAGGCAACTCATCACTTACAGATATCTGCATTTAAAGGCTGTGATTCTAGTCCACCTACTTCCTAATCCACTGCTTTGAAAGCAGAAGCAGATTCTGGCACAAACAGGAGAAGCTCTGTCTTACCCTCTGCCAGTAGCCATATCAGTATATTTAAATCAAAAACTCTATTCTATCACAAACCAACAAGGATGGCTGGAGCAGTCTGCGGTACTGCCCAAATACAAACACATGAGCTGGGTAAACAACTACTGACACTGAGGTTTGAAGGCGACCAGGCTCTGGAAACAGAGCCATGAGCACATTACATTACCAAATTAGGGTCAAGCAAACATGGAAAGGAAAAATCAAGGCTTGCTTGGCAAAAAACAATTATATCTAATTATCTAAGTTATTCATGAATGGAATATATTTGTATTTTATTTCCTGTACTTGAAAGTTTATGTGGCTGCAGTCCCTTACATGATTCCCACATCCTTCCTACATGAAAAAAGACAAAAGAAAATAAACCAGAGTAAAAAAATATATCATAAATACTTAATTTGGTCTTCAGTTTCCATTTAGATAGTATGTAGAATTTATACTAATAGTTCAGGGTAAAATGATCTACCCTTCTTGATTTGATTTCCACCCAACTGCAACATTCACTGTGGTGAAATTAAAGGAACGTCATTGACTCTGACTATTGCTTTGTTTGTTTCTGAATGACATCAAATTCTCATCAAGAGTTATATAGCCTAATGAACTCAGGAAATAAACTATCCAATAATGATCTTCAAGTGCATTACTGAATCTCACATACCCTGACTAGTAATGACCTGGAAACTCTAAATTCCATTTTACTTATAAAGTAATTGCATGAGCAATGCTAATCTTGTTAGTTTTAGGGTTAAACAGTTTGTTTATTTTGTGTTGCTTAAACCAAAATGGTACAATGACACTTAGAAGAAGTTGAAAGCACGACTTTGAAGCACAGATGCAGTTAGATGATTGTCTAAGCACAGAACTAAAACCAGCAGGCTATTTTCAACTTCTCAGTTATCTCTATATTCTATAAAGTAGTCTTTCCAGTAACTGAGATAGCCAAATTTAAATCCATAGTTTTCAGAAATGAAGTGGGAGCAGAACTAAGACAGGTCCTGCAGAAAAGAGAGGCACACTCTAAAACCCGTGCTCAGGTCTCTGCTCTGGCTTTGTGTCGCTCAGAGATTAAACTTTAAAACAGCCCTACTTGTGTACATGTCTCTTCATGGACTAGCGCCAAAGTACATCTCTGACATGTTAGAGCCGTATTGACCACTCTGAGAACCTCAGGTAGTGGTCTCCTGCTGGTGCCAAGAGTCAGAACCAAACAAGTAGATGCTGCGTTTCAATTTTATGTTCTAAAATCTAGAATTCTTCCTGAAGAAGTGAGACCAGCCTTAACTCTGATCATTTTTAAATCCAGCCTGAAAACTGTTCCGTTTAGTTGTCCATATGACACCTGCACTCTCCACTTTTTATTTCTTTTCAATGTTTTTTTCCTTGTAAAAGCTTATTCTCAATTTCAACTTTAGCAATGACTTTTAAATGTATCTTTGTTTTGAATCCTTTCTACCTAAAGCACTTTTCTCGAACACGAAATAGATTTCCCTTGCCTTGCCTATGTGCTCGTACTCTCATAACCAGACGGGCAGGTGCAAATACTGGATAAAGAAATAACAGCCCGCCACATCACCAGTAAATGAGATCCAGCAACAACAATAAACACCTTCTCCAGCAGACACTTGCTGTGTCAGGGATGTCAAGAAAAAGGAAACAGCTGCATCAGTTCTCTGAAAAGTGTACTTGTAAATAGGATCACATACTTGTAAGGAAGTCCAGTGTGACTATGAAAAGCTTGTGGAGCGTGCATCTGCAGCCCAAAAGTGTCTTTCAAATGTCCCTAATGTTTCCTATAAGATATTTCTGAGACCTGAATATTACAGACAGGCATACCTAAAACTTTCTGACTACCTTCAAAGACTCTTTCGAGCATCTTTTGAATCTTTGAAGATAAATATATATCCAAATAGAGATTTGGATAAATGTATATCCAAATCAGATCAATTCCTTCATAATAACTCTAAATAAATTACATTCTATTCTCTCTGTGTATATAATGTACTGTATATATTGCAGACTGTTTAGTCATTTTACAGCAAGTCCCGTGTTTTCCAAAAAGATGAATAAACAAAAGTTCTAAGAACAAAAGTAATAGATATACATACTGGAAGCACAAAAAACAGCACTGTATATGCAAATACAATGGTCCATTCTGAGGGAGCACAATAATTTGTATTTTCATTCAATTCCACACAATGTTTTATTCACAGCTGAGCAAAATGATTTACCCACACTCAGACCCTAACCTTAAAAAGACGTAATTGGTGTATGGACTCTGAGCAGCACGCGTTCATCTTCTGGAGCCTCCACAAACCTCAGTTTATCAGTGAAAGGCTCGGGATCATTTATTTAATTGTAAACCAATTGTAAATTACTTGCGTGTATCATTTATTCACAAACTTGTCCGTGGTGTTGCTAGCATCTGTTGTTATTGTTAAAGAACTTTTTGAAGGTCCGGCATTATGTGATCGTATACTGTTGGTGGCAGACAGTCTGCCTTTAATGCTGTAAGTCACATGGAGCAATAAGTCACATCAGGTTGTGAAAACGTTGTTTTCTGTTTAGTCTTTTCTGGGTTCACCATCCCACCACATCCCACCACACAACAATGGGTTTTTTTGTAGAGGACCAATGAATTCCTCAATTCAAGTGGGAAAGTATAGCAACTGGCTTACATCTTAAATTGAAGGGGGGTGATGCAATTGCTGTGCATCATACATATACTTTTATTGGTGTTGCATCTCTCTCTCTCTGTCATGCCACTTTACCCCATTCAGCCTTGGAAAATCGGGCTCTATCTATGGAGTTTGGTGCTTTGCTCGATTCCGTTAAAATCCAAAAGCGCTCCTCTGGCATGGTGAGACTCCAGTGGAACGTTCAGAAGGGGTGGCACATTTGTTGTGCGATCAACCAAAAGGGGAGCACGTAACTCCATCACTTCCTGAGCTCCATTGGCTTTCCATGACTATCCAAACACGATTCATGCCATTAACGCTGGCTGACAGAGGGACTGCAGCTCTCCACCCAGCCAGCTAGATTCCTGCATACTGATCACATGATCGACTTTGTTTGGTTAGTGTAAGGAACTGTATTTGTTGTGTTATTTTTGTGTTTGCTGTCGATGTTTCCTGGTGTTATGTAGGAGTGAAGCTATCTCCCTTGGCTGTAATCATCACCTGCAGCTCTCACCATCACCTCCACCTGTGGCTGATCCCGTGAAACTCTCCTCCTACCTCTCCTTTCCACCAGGTCCTTTGTTTTACTCCTGTTGGAGGAAATACCAAGGAAGTATGACAAGTATACTAGATTCCCGCATCATGCAAAAAACGTCCCTACTATTTAATCCACAGAGAAACAGAAGACTACCTTTACAGCCAATGCCATTGTCATTTTCAGTTGAAAAAAATATTATTATTTCTGTAACACATCTCTCCTCTCAAATGAAATGAAGCCAGCTACAATTAGCGTCATATTTGCCTCTGTTACTTGTCTAATCCTGCTAGCCAGTTAACTGAAACAATTTGGGGTTTTGTGTAGAATTGTGCCTAATTTTTTCATGTTAAGTTCCCTTTGTCCTCAGTCTATAGCAACCTACCAATAGATACAGGGTGTAGATTCAAAATGTTCTATCTGACTTATCGGACGCAACTTTAAGGCACAATCAAAGTAATGTGAATAACATAGGCATCAAATCAAGTATTGTTTTAATTGGACTTGTAATCCTTTTGCTCCTGGCCCTGTTCTGAGGAGCTTTCAGAATGCTTGTAGACTGCTGTCTACTTCTGGCAAAACACTGACACTAACTACTTTAAAAAAAAAAACAACTCTTAAACAGTAAACTGAAAATGAAAAGTGAACAACATATCCCTTCAAGAGCTAGAAAGGAGGAAATGGCAGGTCGGCACGAACTGACACTCCTCCAGAGATTGTTCAACATACACTTACCCCCCGAGGGTTGATTTGTTTCTACGGGGTTGAGGGCTAATTCCGTTGTCACTTATTTCCTTAACACAATTAGTTCAATCTTGTGTGCTTGCCTTTACAATAATGGAACTACCGTTCATTAACAATGCTTCATTGATTATCATTTTAGGAGGGGCTACTTTGACGCTGAATTAGTGCTGAAATGTTTCAGCCAGGCAAACAAGCCCTCTGTAGGCATTCAATTGATCAGTGTGTGAGCGTCTGCTGTGGGTCAACAATCACACTCACTTTGGATGCAAGAATGTGAGTTCAATCTTCGCCAAAATGAAGCTAACACATGATATTGCTCTGGGGAGCGAAATGTGAATAGGTGATTGTCTGGAGTATGAACTAATAAGGAAACATGCAGGGGGGGGGGGGTTCATTAGAAAATAAATAGCTGTGCATGGACACAGTCGAATCAATCAAAGCACGAACCCCCGGGCGCTGACCTGAGTACTGACACAACACAGCAGCAGCTGCACAGGAGCTGACAGCAATAATGATGCAGCTCCAGTGTCATTCCAACTGCTCTCACATTTTTCACAAAAAACAGAAGCTGTGATTCAGAATGAAGGGAACAGAAGCACTTCAAGTCAGGAGGGTTAGCTTGTAACAAATAAATTGCTGACCTACCACACACAAACAAAAGGGAAAACGAGAGCTGAAAATGACTAACCTGATTTGGCAGTCAGTTTCAGACAGATCAGAGATTATAATTCTTTTTTTTTTTTATTCTTTCGGGATCTCATCTTGGTCACTTTGAAAACTTAACTTGTCGATTCAAGGGGCACTGTTTTAGCTTTGAAGTTTAAGGTGCAAGTACATACAGCAGTCATAAATTTCTTGTTGCATTTTGTTTGATTTCTGGCATACCAAAATCACTATCTTTTGTAAAACTGTCAGAACTGTTTTCCTGTCTTCTTCCAAAGCATTAAACACTTGCCTCAGCTAATTGTAAAGTTAGTATACCATTCATTTTTTGCTGCACTTATCAGCAATTCTAAAATATAATTACTTACCATAACTCTGACATGCATAAATTATTATTAAATCACAACCCTCTAGAATTTTAAAAGCCTTTTATGTGTCACTGACAAGAAATCACTGCTCCTATCACATGGATTCTGGATGTTAATTCTGCTTTCAGAAAACGATACATTAGTTCGGGTTTATGATCAAACCGAAATGCTAAAGAAAGTTTCTGTCACAGATTTGTTTTCGGTCACTGGTTACCGCAGAAACATGAACTTTCAATCACAACATCAATATGACCGCACTGACGGCCTTTTAATTATTGCTATTGTGTTGAACAGTGGTTTCAAGTGAAACCAGAAAAGATAAGCTCTATCTCTCTCAGAAATCAGGACTCCAAGAAAGCGCAGGAAGATTTTCCCAACCGTAACCCAGTGGACTAATTTTGTCAATGGAAAATATAGAACTAATATAGCAAGTGAAATTCTTTACTTTGTTCATTACCTTGTGCATTTCACGGACATAGCAATAGATGGACATGTCAGATAGCGTGTGGCAACACAAATCACCCGCCATCATCTACATTATCAAACCACATCTCCATAGGTCGTTATCGTGTACTTATGATGTTGGGTCATGATCGCAGCGGGCGATAGCCACGAAGACATATGCCCCTCCTTTTAGCAATAATCCCCAGCTCCTTAGTGGCATACGGAAGCATTCCAAGATCGGAAGACATATATAATCCCTCCGCCATATTCCTTTTGCCTCTTAGGCCTTTTCCCACTTGTACATTGCCATGTGAAATTAGCTTGTTAAATATGCATGTTCTATACTATTTTGTCCCATGTTACTTTATCATTTAAATGTAGTCAGTTCTTACATAACCCAAGAGATGGTGTGAATTTTCAGTCTGTATTAACATTGTAATACAGTGTTGCTTGGCAGAATACTCATTGGATTTATATTGGCTAAGTCAAACCTCTAAAAAATAGTGTGTTCATTAACTTAATAATCTCATAACAAAAGTACTTAGTTGCTGCAAGATGAATATAGAAAAATATAAAAATGTCTATAAAATTGTTTTTAAAAAAATTGAAAAGATAATTATATTTAAATAATGGTTGTTTAAAGGCTTTTTCTGTAATAAAACAACTCTTATTGAGCAATTAGAAGCCTGCCTCTGTAGTAACACAGTAAAAGTACACCAAGAAAACCTCTGATGAACTAACGCCTGGGTTGTAGATAGTTATCTTCGGATAATGTCTGTCTTTGATAAAGCTTGTCTGAAAGTGAGTTGTGAAATTGGATGAATGAAATCACAATTAGCAGCAAACCCCACAGAAAACCCACACATAATATTCCAGACCTGAAACAGATTGATGGACCCATAAGAGAGCTGTGGAAACAAACATTGGCACCCCTCTGTTAAGTGAAACAGTGAGAGGGCCAAACTTCCTCCAAAAAGATGCAAGAGACTGATGGAGCCATAGAAAAATCAATTGCTTCAAGTTATTACTTCCATTGGTGGTTCAAGAGACTAATTAGTCATGAGCTTTGTTTTTCACCCACTGCTGCTTCATTTTGGGTCAGGGTTTGGTTTATTAGAAATGGACAAATTGCTATTTTATATCTATTGTCCTCCACAGTAAGACGCAGTCTGTAGCAGAGCTCCTTTTGAAGCCTTAGGATTTAAAAATGCTTTCTTTTTCTTGCAAATGGAAAATGCCTTTTCTCAGATGTCTGACATCACTGCTACATAAATTGCAGCTCTGGACAAGCACTTTTGTCTTTTGGGGGCCTCCTTAGGCATTGCAAATTCTGCTCATTTCACATTTAAAATGTGAATTGGAACATATTTTGTTAATATTACTTTAAATATATAATCAACTTTGAATATGTTGCCACAAATAAAAGCCAGCTGCCATCATATACAGAGAGAGAGGCACGGCTGTGTTGTTGAAATACTTTCCTGGGCGTACTGGATTTGATCAGCCTGGGTTGGAAATGTTTGCAACCCACGAGGTTAAAGCAATAAGGGGCTGTGGGAGCAGATGAAGGAGGTTTATCTAATGTGAACAGTTGAGTGTCTGCAGGGGACTTCAGCATGCAAGCTGGTGTGACAGAAAGCGAGAGTCACATCCATTCCACCAGCAGGGCAATGCAGCACTGCACATCTCCCATCTCTCTGCTGTTCTGTGATATAGGACTGTAATCAAGCACAGCCCGGGGAAAGAAACCATAAACCATTTTTAAATCTGATAGCGGCGAAAAGCTAAACATCATTCTTTGGCACGGAGCTATACAGTATGAGTGCTGCTCATGCAGATTGTGAAAGGAGTTGTATATTGCAATATTTCAATATCCTGTTTGTGGTCCCCTTGAACGCTGGCTGCCTCGCGACCACAATGGTGTGTTAGGGAAGATAAAGTTGCACAATATTGCGCTGACTGATTACGCGCCGCTCAGAGAGACGGCGCAAACCATTTGTTACTAATGAAGTTTTAAAACAGCAGCCGCCAAGTATGAATCAATCTCTCTCACCGTTGGTACCACTCGTGCGTCACCCCTGCCGGATGGTGCTGCTGCTGGAGGCAGCTGTGCGTTCACAATCACATTCAACAGGCAGCGAATCATACTCCGTTCGTGGACACTTTCACCGCATGTCGTTTGTTTTTACACTTTTAAAATCGCAGGTGGTGGAAGACAGAGACCGTTGAGGAAAAGGAGTTTTTTTTTTTTTTTTTAAGGGGGGAATGTTAAACTTGCGCGTTATGGCACAAACGTTGTCTCGTGCCACTCCACCTTGGCGCTTCGGCAGGTAGATCAAACTGCGAGAAAAAAGCAACAGCCTTAACAGCACCCGAGGGAGAAAAGGAAAAAGAAAAGAAGAGGATGGCAGCGTCAAACAACGGATCCAACATAACGTCGAACCACACGAACCAGTTCGTCCAGCCGCCGTGGCGCGTCGCGCTGTGGTCAGTCCCCTACACCTTTGTGGTGGCGGTGGCAGTGTTTGGAAACCTCATTGTGATATGGATCATTCTCGCCCACAAGCGAATGCGTACAGTCACAAACTACTTTTTGCTGAATTTGGCGTTTTCGGACGCGTCCATGGCCGCGTTTAACGCTTTGATAAACTTTATCTTCGCTGCCCACGGGGTGTGGTACTTCGGAGAAACCTACTGCAAGTTCCACAACTTCTTTCCAGTCACATCCGTATTCGCAAGCATCTACTCAATGACTGCAATAGCTGTGGACAGGTGGGTTTAAATCTTACCGCAAGAATGACCCAATTCTCCCCATTTCATCCCAACTCTTCATCAGCTCATAAGAATTTAATTTATTTTAAGGAATTGTTTTCAAACACACGTTTTAATCTATTTAAAAAATAAATCAACGTTGATTAATTATTTTTATGTGTAGAATTTTAAATACGTGTTGTTGTAGTAGAGTGTTGTAAAATCCTAGCCACCCAAACATGTTCATTCGCTTGGACATTGTGTTCCTGTTTAATCAACCCAACCTGGTTATGGAGGCCGCCATAAAAACTGAGATCAAGAAAATTGATCACATATTTCATCTGTTTGGTTTACTGCCTGAGAATACATTGTTTTCTCAAAGATTGCGTGATTAAAGCCATTTGATATAGCAAAGTGAGCCCACATGCAGCGCCATTAGTTTGAACTGAATCTGCAGTTTGTGTTACGTTCCGCTAACCTTTTGCCCACAGCCATTTCCATCTGTGGTTCAGTCTACGTGCGTTTCCCTTTAGGTGATGCCGTCACAGTTTGCATTGCTGTTCTGAAAGGTACACAGACTGTCATCTTTCACACATTCAGCCTGTTGTACAGATTCATCACTGCGTCCGGCTGCCAGCGTGCTGAGGCTGTTGTTTGGCTGTTTGTACTGCAGTGGATGACTGTTTCTGCCAACACCTTTGAAAAGCTCACCCCTTCCCCCATGTTTTTTTTTTCAAGCTTCAACTCTGTTTTTGTCAAATGCACTCGTCATATTTGCTCTTTCGTTTTACACATGATTTTTCTTTTGTTGCTCCTTTATCTTATTCCCTTTGCCTGCTCCTGCTCTCCTGTTATTTGAGAGGCAAGCAATATCAGCAAGGCTTTTCATCAATGGACGATCAACATCATAGGAGGGATTAAACTTTTGCAGGAGGCAACCGCTGGCCGAATGTAAGAAACCAAAAAGATGTACGATGAGAACAACGCTGTGTGTCTGCAGCTTGTGTTTGTCAGTCATGGTGTGCAGTGGTACTCCGGGAGGTTTTTTATTCCTGTAATCCTTCTTATTTACACACAAATGGGACAGTGGATTTTTTTGGCCTGCAGCATTGCTTTAGGTTTGTCAATCGTTTACCGAGAAAGAGAACATCATGGTGACCTCTTCGATGTACTGTAGCGGTGACCTGGGGTCAAGCGTTTCATAACCCCAGCATGGCGCTGTCTCCGCTCTGATGTCTTCAAATGGCAGAGGCCACAGTTCGTGATCATCTGTGAAATTTCCCTTCCTGCTTGAATCTATGCTGCAAAGTGTGTCTCTTTGGACACTGCGATAGAAAAAATAGATTTCTGTGTGAAAGGTAACACCACAGCTGACAATTTTGACTATTTTTTTGAGCACTGCATGGAAATAAATGAATGTACATGAAATGTTTTTGCGTTTCCAGCCTTGAAAAAAAAATGTTTCAAGAATTGAATATAACTTTGTTTTTGGTAATCAACTGTCAGAAATACCTTTCAAAACAAGAAATGTTCCAAGAAAACAAGGAATGTTGTAGGAAAGTTCTCCTTTAACCCATTAAGACCCAACTCGTTGCCCGTAGTTAAATCAGCTGAGGGTCCAAAATTGTTCAGAGAAGTAGACAAACATAAACTCATAAACATTGAAATAGACAATTCATCAAATGGAACAAATTGCGTACCTGTTAGTAACTTTCCAATTCAAAATGATGACCAGAACAACATGAATTATCTTTTAGTCAGCTTCCTTTGGAATAACAACTATCTGTTTTGGTAATGGATTATCAGTCAGCCATGATATCCGCAAAGAAAAGCTTCACCTTCGAAAAAAATCTTCGCTTCAGTTCCTAACAAAAAGTTTCTCTGGGATTAAGGTCAGAACATGGGCCTGGTCATTCCAAAACATCAGCTTTATTCTTCCTTAACCATTCTTTAGCAAAACAGCTTATGTGCTTGGTCTCATGGCCTTGCTGCATGACTTACTTGCTCATAGGATTCACTTCACAGATAGATAGTGCTCATTTGAACATCACCATAGAATTCACAGTAGTAATGCAGAATTCATAGTATCATTATTACCTACAAGCCAACCTGGCTTTTTAAAATGTTTTAATCTGCTTATAAAAGTTTAGCCTACTTTACAATAGTAGGTTTTCCTCCATTACAGTATAGCCACTAAACATTTGTAAGTACCATCTGATTATATTTCTTTATGAAACTTCATAAAAGGATCGTTTTTCTTTTTCTGCAGGCCCACCATATGAACCACGTTGGGTTTTTTGGGGGGTCACTTATTTATGACCACTTAATAAGAACAAATTTTACCAGTTGCCTTGAAGTTATTGCGAGCTCTTTTGTAACTCTCCAGATTTTTATAAGCTTTGTTATTAGAGTGATTTTCTTTTGTCTGCTGAAGAGGGCAATAATAGTTCTGAATTTCATCTATTGTACACAACCTGCCTGATGGTGGGTTTGTGTCATAATGCTTTAGAAATGGTTTTAGAATATGATGAAAATATCCTATTTTCTAATATTTGTTTGAATTCAGGTCTGTTTTTTTAAAGTTAAAATCTGTGGTTCGGTGTTTGATCCTATCTGACAAAGCATTTACAAATATCTGTCCATGTTGCTGAATTTATGCAGGTCTTTTGAAATGTTTTATAGATCATTCAAAAGTGCAAAATGTAACTGCATGAAAACGTAAGCGTAACTTTATGAGCAAATACTGGGTTGAAATACTTTTGAGCCCAACATTGGTGCATTTTCCCAAATACCAGAGTGTCCGTGTTGCAGAGTGTACTGGTTTCAGTGCACTGTGTCTGGTTAGAAAGTGCCAAAAAATGCAGCAATTTAATCTTTTACATTTTCTTTTTTGATACCCAAAGATACCACTTCCATGCCCCATTCTGATTAGCTGCTTGCTCAGCCTGTAGAAACCTACAATGATTATCAAATTTGCCCCATAGTGCCCTAATCCCTGTTTCACTCTTAAGATATTGGACTTTTTCCCAAATATTTCTCAAACCTGGACTGATGATGCTTCATTGGTGATGTGTGAAAGCACACAATTCGGAGAAGCCAAACTGCGAAATGGGTTTTCCTGTGTGCTTACAGAAATCAAGCCAATGAAAAAAATAAAAAAGAATCTAACCAGCATCGATAGTCACACACACTCACACTCACACACACACAGCTGAGCTTCTTTCGTCTGTCATGCGGAAATTACAGGGGAGGAACAGCAACAAGGCAAAACTGTTGTGAAAAGGTTTTGATTTGTCAACTGTTCACACAAAACATGTTGTAAAGTATGTCAGGATGTTTGGTTGTTATTTAGTTTCCACGTCCAACTGGATTACAAATGCTTTATTTATGTCAACCACTCAACATCTTTCGGAAAACATTCAAGAAAACACTCTACATTTAGTTCTGCCATATCTACTTGTAATTAAAGCCTCATCCAGAGTAATCTCTGCTACTGGAACTCCAGGTTATAAATGTAAATAAAGATAATGAAGTGTTCATTTGTTATATTAAACCAAGGTGGTCACAACAAAAAAATCCTTCAGCATGACACAATTTAAAATATGTATGTATATATGAAGCCCCCAAGAAAATGGTTTTAATGAGCTTTAAAGATACAAAAAAAGGATGCGTGTGTCAGGATTCTGTTTCTAATATGAAATGTTACTTATCCTGTAACTTCATGTCTAGTCCTCAAACCTTTGTGAAAGCTTGCTGGATCATAGGTTTGCTGCTCCTACACATAATTGGAAGTCTAAATGGAGGATATGCACCAAGCTTTAGGCAGTGACAAGATTAAGTGTCTTTGTTGCTGTCCCCATAGAGTTCTGGTGACTACAGAAGACAGGAAAAAACATTCTCTGCCCCACCACTAAGACTAAATTATAGCAACGCAGAGCCTCTGTAATCTGCTATTTAAAATCATGTATCCAAATCCAAAATTGGATTTGTATGACAAGTAATCTGCCACCAGTTTTTAGGCTTTCACTGTGTGGTTGACTCATCACAGGGTTGTAAAATGAATCATCCATCAATTTCCATGAAAATCACAATTCTACTCTGTAAGTGGATGCAGAATGCCTAGCTGAAAATGAAGTGTAATTGTAAGCGGAAAATGTCGGTGAATCATCAGTTCAATCATCTGAATTAATCTCCGATTTAGGCTATTCTAATTTTTTTGCAGCTACAGTTTAAGAGCTTGAACAATCATTTCAAAGAAAGGTGCACTGAGCTTCCAGCCATCGAATGTGTGACCATAGAAATATTTGAAGATCTGCCATCTTCTTGCTTGCAGATACATGGCAATCATCCACCCTTTGAAGCCTCGTCTGTCCGGAAAAGCCACGACGGGGGTCATTGTCTGTATCTGGGGCCTGGCAGTGGTTCTAGCTTTCCCTCTCTGCTACTTCTCCACAATCCGATCTCACCGTCAGAGGACCATCTGCCTCGTGGCATGGCCCCGCCTCAAAGATGACACCCTGAAGTGAGAAATTGTTTTATTTTCTTTCCACAGCTTTAATATGTCTGGTATGTTCCTCTTGTGTTATTGTTTGATTGATTTGATCAGCAGTGCAGGTTCCATTGTCACTTCATAGGCGATTTAAACTTGTTCTTTTGTGTTTCTTTTTTTATGCCGAAGATCAAATTCCACAAAATGCAATCAAACAGGCAAAATCTTTTTATCTAGTAAGCCTACTGCTTTGTTATTTGCATGTGCTCCCTCAGGTATCATATCATTGTTGCCATCCTGGTGTATGTGTTGCCTTTGGTGGTGATGGGCATCACTTACAGCATCGTGGGGGTGACACTGTGGGGAGGTGAGATTCCTGGAAACTCATCAGATAATTACCATGGACAGCTTCGGGCTAAAAGGAAGGTAAGCGTATTCGCTTCAGATTAGATACACAGTGTAATGGAAACACAATTCGAAGCAGGATGCTTGGACTCTAAAATGCTGCGAATTGGTAATGACTTGCAATTTTCCGCCATCAAATAGCTTGCAGCACCAGGCAATTACTGTCTTGAGAAAGAAATCGGTGGATGGAATATGAGTGGAATAATTGCATGGTTGCTATTTGACATGCCCTTGTCTTTAAAAAGCGAAAGATGTTGACTTTTGACCTGGTCACAGCACAGCATTGTTAGTGGTGAAGGAATCAATTTAGCAAAGAAACATTTTTCCATTAGTGCAATTAGAGCTCTGTTTAATTCTCTGATAGCAGCTTTGTTTACTGAGCGCATTTAAATTAGCTTCATGCAACAGTTGTGACAAGATTTAATTAGACAAGCCAATATTTCAGTTTTCAAAGAGCGAGACAGTAACTGCAGAGGAACTGGTCTCAGGACACGTATATCACTTTCATAACTTCATCTGATACATCAATTTCAGAAAATGTATTAATAACTGGATCATCAGCTGTATGTCCCAACTACAGGTCATGCTGAACATATGGTGATATAAAGCAGTTTTCAGTTTATTTCAAATGCCGTGATAAATGAAGCTTTTGGATGTTTAATTCACCAAGAATAATGCCGTCCATGTGTGTAAGTGGAGCAGGTGTCGGTCAGTTCAACCCAACTCAACCTTTTGTGATTGTCACTTTTGGTCAGTGCATCTGGACTGGCCCAATCTCTGAAAACCTGCAGTGTCTCCAGGGTCCAGGAGTGTGTCTGCACTTTGATAGACACATCAGACACTTTGGCCTTTAGCCTCAGGAGCCAGTATCTCATTACAAAAAAAGCCCTTACACTGGAACTGCATACCTTGACTATAAAGAGATAGTACCTAGTACAAAAAAAAAGAAAAGAAAACACCCTAACCCTATCCATCAAGCAGGTAAGATAGTCGTCAACCTTTCATTTGGTCACTCAAACTACTTACAAATATACATTTAGTACAAAGGTTTGGTCAAGTTTCCATTTGTTTCACTCCAGCATTGACTGGCCGTAGCTTTAAGTTGCTGTTAGACTTCTTTACTGCCCTTTTGACTACATCCCAACATTCCACGCGTAACCGTCTGGGTGGTGGAAAATGTTTCCCCGCAGCCCACGGGTCATTTGTTTTTGTTACGATAAATATACTCAGGATCTGTATTGTGGGAATGATATCTTGCCACCTCAATAAATCTATGTTGGCATAAACATCAAATAATGTTTTTCCTGTCTGGTGCACAGACGATAGGCGAGACTTTAGAAATGCTTATTTATCAAGCAGTGCTGTCAGGGAGGCATGTCATCTCTGCCAAACTCCCTGTGTTGCATGACTATGAGGCCAAACAAACAGCAGAGTCATAAACATCTAACCTCAGTGACAAGTAGAACAATGACTCCAACTGTTTCTGTTTTAAATACAGCGCAGTGAAACAAAGCTATTGATTAGATGTTAGAGTTTTTTTATGTTACGTTAATTAGATAAACATATGTTCATTGTGTTGACAATGAAAGGATAACTCCTATACTTTTGGAACCGGAAAACAAAGACTGCAGAGGGATACGTTTCATTACATTTATTTATGTAGGAAGGCCCAAAGAGAGCAAACTATTCTTTCAATGACAGCCTCACAAGATATGATGATTATACATAAAATAGATTCGGAGAACTGAAAGCACAATAACAATAACACAATAAGATCAAATAACTTTCAGAAGACATAATCGCTATAATGTTTGTAAGAATATGAATCATAAACATGATAGCGGTTTGTTAAACTCCAAGAATATTTAGAAAAGATATATATTAATATTAGAGTTTTAATATAAACACAGTGTAGACAACACCATTGTGGGTAAAGAAGAAGAAAATACTTGGGAAGTAATAGATTTAGTTCACATGTCAGTGGTGACATGAGGTTTATTCACGCCATTTTCAAAATGGAGAATATTTCCATGGGTCTAATTTATTAAACACCAGTATTCAGTAATTCTGTCACCACATATACAGCACCAGATAAATGCAGCATGGAAAGCTTTTATGTGTGTCTTTTTACCCTATTTAAGCTAGGAATTTACCTTATCTAAGATGATAAACTACATAGTGGTTTAACACAGTTTTCATTATTTTCTAACAGCAAATGGTTCTCTGGGGAGTTCTCAGTGAGAGGCTGTTCAGATCAATAAGTGAATGGGGATAATTGTGCATCCAAATGTGTGTGCTTTGGGGTTTGCATTTATTTTCTATCATGAGTGCATGGTATATTCCGGACGGATTAAATATTGTTGCATTTGTAGTAATTTGAAAAGGAGGTTACATTTGATGTCTAAACGATAACATTTGAGCATTATTCAACAGAGAGGCTCATTCATCCTCCAGCCCCTGACTTGTTTGCATTGGTGGGTTCCAGAATATTTTGTCCTCTTTCGTGCTGGTGAATGTCACACAGGTTGAGAGTGTAGTGCTCATGGGGTCTAAGCAAATAGGTTACCGAAATGACAGAGGAGCCCGAGGCAACACTGTCAAGCAGCACAAAACTGAAACGCTCTGAAGCTGAAGTTTTAACTGTATTCCAGGCTCATGGAAAAACGGTAAAAATAGATATTCTTAAAAAGCTCTGTAAGCTTAATAACCAAGAAACCTGAATTTTAATTACTTTTCTTTTTCTTATACAAATGTGCATGGAAGAACATCAGTCAAACTGTATTTTTCAAAGCTCATTTAAAATAATGCTCAACACGAAATTGTTCACGGTATTAATGGACAAAACCACGGCTCATTAGCCGTCCCATTTCAACAGTACTCATTAATTCCCGACAGAATATTAATAGTGTTTTCACAGTGCAGAAGCTTGCTCAAATATGTCAGTATTCATTCAAGAACTGCTCAGTTTGCCACTGATGACCTTATATTTCTCAGCTCACCGCATAATGGACCATGATTACCATGCCACTGGATCATGGGAAACCATAAAAGGAGCCACAGGTTACAGTCTGTTCATAATGCACACTGTTTGATAGGATTGGGAATTCCAGATTGTTTTTTAAATGCAAATATTTAGATCGAGCAAAGTATGAATAAAGTTTTAATTTATGAGATGGACACATAAGCTAAATCTGGGAGTCACTTTACACATGGGTACTACCAATACTGATTTTAAATCAGTAAATAGTCAACATATAATCTGCATTTTTAACAGGGATTGCCTCTTGTTTTCATTGTTTACGTATTTGTGCAAAACAACCAAAGCAAAAACAATTTTTTAATCTTTGTAAAGTCACTAATGTAAACCACAAACTGTAATTTAAAAAAATACGCAATTTGACCTTTTCTCTTAATTTACACTCTTGTGAAGCTTCCAAATATGGACAGTAATGCCATCGCTGCAATTCCCCTTTTGTGAGACAGGAGTGGTCAACACTTGACTTGACAGATCAATAATCTATTTTGGACCTCAAACCGATTGTATCTCAAACAACAGGAAAATCCAAACATTTCCACATCTAAAATAGAACTTAGAGTTAAGAAAAGTACACATGTCCATGATGGGATTATTTATGATTAATGTCTGGGGTTGTGCCTCACAATGTGCACACGAGTAACCACGGATACCCTCATATGGAACCCACTGTGGCATGTAATAACTCATAGGAAGGACTTCAAAGATAAGGTGTTTCCTTTGACCCGTCCAATCATCAAAGAACATATTTTCTAGTGGAAGGCTGAGTTCACTACATGAATTCTAATGTGAATCACTGGATATTGCTAAACATATAAGTTTAGGTTCACCGTGACGAAGTGTTGGAAACTGAAAAGCTTCTCCGCAGCTTTTAACATCTTTAAATACTATGTGTATTTTCTCCCTTTAGAGGGTCAAAGGGAGCTGTCACCTGTTCCCAGGGAAAAACGGATGTACAGCAGGCGGGGATGTGGGTGGAATCCCTTCTTCAAAATATAATCTAGTGCTTTACCGTTCGAAGATGCACATATATCATTGTAACTGATTTATCATTTCCCACAACCAAAATTCCAAAAGTCGTCACCAGATTCAGCAATTGTGTGTTTTTCTTTCAAATGTGTTTGTAGTTAGCCTGACAATCTTTTCATTTTTTAAATCTAGAATCACAGCTGATGTGGTGATAGGTCATTCCCTAATGAAATAATCTCTTTACATGTGCAAATGATAAGGGAGGTGCTTTGAAACTTCAGTGTATTTGGTGTTTTTAACAAAATGAGCTTTTGCTGTGTGAGTTGGTGGAGAATAGCTTTCCGTGACTCAATCACACACAGTGGAAACAGTTGTTTGGGTTGACTGATAACAAGCTATGATGTTTCATTTTTATCTTCACCGTGCAATGAAAGGTACATTTTTTTCAATCACAAAGTAAACAATGTTGGTTGATGTTAAGTTGTTTCCATTCCATTTTGAAAAGGACCTCAATGTCATTCTGAAGTCATCCCGTCCAGTAACCCACGCATTCATGTGTCCAATGTTTTTAAGTTTAAATTTGAAATTGCTCCAATTAGATTTTTCTTGAAAATATTTCATCAATGTTTTGTCCATTTAGCTTGAAATGAATACATACAGTCAGCAATAAACATATATACATATTGCATATTTTACATACATATCTTTTAATAGTGAGATAAAAGTCCTAATTATGGTATTTTTGTTCTATATTGTTTATAGACACATTTATCGACAATATATATAGAGGCAAAATTTTAAGCTGGAAGTCAAACTGTTGTAGATGTCTGGTGTTGCATTTTGCGATCCTTTCAGGCTTTGGGTCTCTATGAATGATACTTTTCATAAACTTAAATGGAGGGAAGCTGTGTATTTCAACATCACTAACTGGTACACTACAGCATGAAGATCTATGATTAAGGTGCAGGATGGCACCTGAAGTGTGATAAGAAGGCCGTATTCCAGTTGTGTGGGATATAATCGAAGCATCTTGTGCCTTACAATATGTCATCCTGAAAACAGCCTTTTATCAAATTTATAACCCAACTTCACTGCTTCCACAAACCAAATAACTGAGTTTGCTTCCATAACATAAGAAAACACACTGAATAAAAATAATGTGTTTTTTCGATAAATCACAGAAAACATCACAGCTTGACTCTTTTTCTCTGATTGTTCAGTAGCTAATTTTTTATCATATACAGAGTCGCCTCACGTTGAATGGCATCAATTGTTTACCAGGGCGGTGTGTGAAAAGTTATAATGATGCAGAAAGGGCACAGCTTTGTGTATTCATCACATTCATTGACTCACAGATCTCTTATCCGAAGAGACTTACAAGAGAAGATTCAGAAGGGTTATTGCTCGGAATCAGTTTTTGACGGGCTTTAAGCTCAGACGAGTTTTAATCTAATAGCAGCGCTTATCATCATCATTTCATCAGGTAACATTTATTATGATGACTGGTCAAGAGTCTGATATTCGACAAATAAGAATTTACCAAATTATTTGTTTTAGTTCAATACATAGTCCTTGACCTAACACACAAGCCCAACCTCCCAATCATACAAGTTAAAATGTTACAGAGTAATTGATGGTAGTTCATTTGAACATAAATCAAGGCAGAACATGAAGTTTCTTTTTTTTCGGTAACTTCTTCAGTATCTGTGAAAGTAAGTTACACTCAGTTGCTGCTAGGCTGCAAGAGATGTCTGTTGGCCAAAATACAGCCCTTGACATGTTAAGGCTAAGTGAATAATACACAATGTTACTGGTGATAATTAATATTAAAGACAGATGTGACCCAACATGATTGATAGAGCAGTATATTTGATAGCAGAGCTAACAAAATTAAAAAGGAAATTAAAGAATGAATTAAAGAATGTTTTTTTTATTAAAGTTTGTTATTTAAAAAAAATCTGAAAAGTTTGTTAATTAATATCTCTTCGGCCCTTTATTAACACTTTTGTCTCAAGTTTTGGAATTGAAAAGGATGGACATAATCTGTATCTCTACTGTTTGTATTACTTCTCATCACCATTG